CAGCCAAGACAGTTCTGGGCAGGGAGGTGAGCTCTGTCCTGGGCAATTTAAAACTGAATAGAGAGATGAAAGGTTGGTGAAGAACCAGCAGGCACCACAGCAGAGGTGCTGCATTCTGCTGGATGCTCTGGATGCTTGGCCAAGCCCCAGCCTTTGCACAAACTGGCCTGATTTTTCTGGTTTTTCAGATACTGGGAGCAGGACTGTGCCAGGTATCAACAGAGTGTGTGGGGAACTGCATCTCCAAACTGCCCAACAAATGTCTTCTAAAAACTGTCTTCTGTTTTTAAAGCCTATCAGATTGCTCCATTTTCCCCATCTTTCTTTCTCGTGATATCTTCTTTTACTTTCTTGCAGCCTGGCCCCTCTTAGCACAGGAACGTTTTGCTTTGCCATTCAACTTTCTAATCCCTGATTTCCCCACTTGATCGTGTCACTTTAACCCTCCACCGAATCTTTCCTTTTTTTTTTGATAATAGTAGCTTTTCTCCAGCAGAATTCTCTGCAGCTGCCCAGGCTGAGTGTGGGGAGGAAGAAGCCCAGGGCAGTGGGGACACTTGGGCTGAGCGAGGAGGAGAATCTGTGGGCAGTGAGAGGGCATTGCCAGGCTCACCCTGAGCACCGCTGGGGGACCAGGGGGGTGTCTCACTGTGGCACCAGCTGCTCGTGGGGGCAGCTCTGGGGTTGGAGCTGCTGCAGGAAAGCCAGGAGCCCCCCTGGGAGGGACCTGTTGTGGGGCAGCACGTGCTGCTCCCGAGCTGCCAGCTGTGAGCAGGAGCAGATGAATCCTGGGGTGCTGTGCCAGGTCCTGTTTGTAGCCTCGAGGCTGTGACTGCTCCTCTGACAGTTGTTTGCTCAGCACATGAACCCATCAGAGGAAAAGTGAGTGCTTCCAAATCCCTTCTCTCCATCTCGAGACTGCTCTGGATGTGATATCACTGCTGTGTGCTTATCTGTCTGTTCCCCATCCCCTCACTCTGCTCTCCATGGCTTTGGCATCCGCAGCTCATGTGTCCCTACACAAAGCAGAGCAATCACAGCCTGATCTCAATGTGGTTTTCATTACAGCATTAACAAAACATTTCTTATTTATGGGCCTCTCTTGTAGGCAGTTTCTCCAGCTCGGAGAGTGTTCCAGTGTCTTCCTGCATTCCCAGCTCCCCACAAAATGGGTTTGAAACGCAAACTTTACTTGCAGAGTTGTCACAAAGAGTGGCATGAGAGGAGGAGGCAGCCAAGAGGAAAAAAGAGTGTAAGCAGGGCAGAGAATTAGGGAGGTATTTTGGCTCATCTGAGGGGACAAAGGGACAATGGAAGTGCTCAGGGTGACAAGAGGCTGCAGAAACAGGAGACTGGGGCAAAGCATCTTCTGAGATGTGCTTTGGTTGAATGCAAATCCTAAATACAGGGGTAGCAGAAGGAAACTGTGAGTCTGTGGTACAGGGGAACTTGGGCAAACAGCTTCTGCAGCCCTTTCTGGACTAAAATATTGCTAATGCTGCGAGTCCAGCACTTGCAATACTGCAGCAGCAGTTTGGAAATGCTGGGCTTTCAAAACCCCTCTGTGAGGGATCCTTGCAGCCAGATTTCAGGGCACCAGCTGGCTCCTGGGTGAACCATTAACCAGGGAGAAGGCTGTTAATTTTGGCCCGGTTTTATGGCTAAAAGAAAATGCTGCTCTCTGGTCACCTCCTTTGGGTTCTTGTACCTCTCTTTCATCGAGGTTTCTCTTTTGTATTAGAGCATCATGCATATATTGAGGCTTTTATCATTATGGTTGGGAAGTATTCCAAGTCCTGGCTTGCCAAAAGGTTACACCCTGCTAATGGCATAAGAAACTATTCACTGTTGCTGGGAATAATAGATTTTACAGGCTACAGATAGCTGTTAGAGGTGTAGGAGTGCTGGGGAGGGAGTTACAGGAATCCGAGCAGCATCAGGCATCTTGTTGAAAGGGCATGCATGGAAAATGGATGTGTTTTAGAGAGGTTTGACCCTTCGTTTGTGCACACTCCTGTGAATGGCCCAGGCCTCAGGGCTGGCTGGTTTGAGTTGCCTGTGTGGTTTCTGTCTCCTGTTTTATACAGTGAGAACTTCATTTTGCCCAGAGGAGCGATTAGAGGGCCGTGGGTAGGGAGCAGGTTGTGCCATTACCCAGGGCAGCCCTTCTCAAAAGTGCATTCCTGAAGATGTCCAAGCTCTGCCTGCAGTGTCTGAGAGGTGATCAAGGCCTGGGCATCCCTTCCATAAAACTCTCCGAGGAGGCAGAATTCCTGCACCGTTCCCTGAGCAGCCAAGAACCGAAATCACGTCCCGGGGAAGGAAACTCAGCGACACCGAGCCGAGCGCTCCGCCCTCCCTGCCACCAGCACCGTCAGCTGAGAGCAGTCCAAACCACAAAATCCACACTTTGGCACGAGCTGTGGCGTTTGGGAGCGCTCAGCCCCGTCCCTCAGCAGACACAAAACCCGTCCATCCCCCGAACGCCCCCCGAGCATCGCAGGCAAGGGGCAGGCGAGAAGCGTCGCTCTGTTTGGTTCTCCCTCCGTGAGTCTCTCCAGGAAGGAGTCAGATGGCCGGGGTTATGCAAACCAAATGGACCTCCTTTTGTTTAGAGCGAAGGAAAATAGTCGGGCTTTTTTTTTTT